TAATAATTTGGAGTATTAGATCAGGAGGTTTAATTTTGGATTAATTACTAAGGGTGGCAAAAGCATGTAATGCATGTTATTAAAATTAACAAGAAAAAAACCTGCAAATCAAAGTAAAGTGAACATTGGCTAATGAATAATAGAACCATTTAGATTTTTTAAAAGATATTAAAAAAAGTTAGTTATGTTGGATAATGATTTAAATATTAGGTTAATCAAAATGTGTTAATGAGAAACAGAGAACCACACTGTTATTTGGTATCTGAAAACATTGTGGAATTAAGTTACCCAAAATATTTAAAGGATTTGTAGTATTTTGTGAATGTCAGCCATACAAAACCTTAATGTTTGGGTCAGTAAACAGCCTCATATAATGAACCAGTCCTATGTAAAATCAAACCAGGCCTGGAAACCACAAATATATGAAAAATTGTTCCCCCTCTTTTTACACAAAATTTATTCATTTACAATGTATACATAAACTCTTCAAAATTCAAACAAGTGATAGCAACACGTTAAACCAACATCCCCAAAACAGGTTTGCTTAATCAAAAGCATATATGTATCCCAAATCCCATTTATAACTTAAACGTGAAAGTTTGATGGGCTGGCTTTACACACACACACACACACATGCTTGTTCTTCACATTCAGCTTCTCACACGTCCAGTAAAGGTAAGTGAAAATAATTTGATTTGGGGGCAGTTCCATTATGATGTACAAATTGGGAATGCAAAATGGAGGCCTCCTGAAAGGCAGGAGGATGTGGCTCAGACAGGTGGATAGCACTCAGTTTCTTCCTAAGGCCATGATGGGTCATGGGAAATCCGCCCTCCCGCAGAACAAAAAATGGCCTGGCAAACGAGTATTCAATGAATTATTGATTTATTCACATATATTTTTTTCTCGTTTAAACGCAAAGTGATTTATGGAGGAGGCCAAAAGTCTATGGAGATGGCACACACATAGTGTGAAAAGAAAAAAAAGTTCACATCCTTTTTAAAAAAAAATCTATTAGAAACAACATAATATGCAGAACAATACGATAGCATTTACAATACTTTTTTCCCAGTTCTTATGAAAGTCCATTGCAATTTTACAACAGTATACAGTATGTCCGCATCCCTCCCCTTTAGAGGCTGATATAGTAATAAATTCAATCTTTCTTTCTCTCTCGCTCTCTTTTTGTGTCTAAGCAAAGGGCACCTCCTTTTAAAGTGTCCCATAGTATACAGATATCGGGCTTTTTTTTCTTGGTCCGAATCTATAGCCAAGATGCAAGCTCCTCAGTCTCGGTAACAAGTCAGTATGTAATCGGTTCTTGGCAAGCTCCAGAAAAACCAATCGCAGCTCCTCGTCTATCCGTTGCAGTCATTTACAGAATCCATTTTAGTAAATTACTGGGCATGGATGTCCATGAATTGTCCTCCCATGGTAGGGTCTCCTGGATTGAACATAGGGGGGCTAGAGGCTGACATGGGCATGGCAGGGTGAGGTGGTCCTCCGTGCATTAACATCGCTGGGTGGTGGGGGTGTCCAGGGATGTAGGAACGCATGGGAGGGCCGTGCCGCAACTGAGCAGGGTGGTGGGGCATCTGGGAGGCGCCATAGCCTGGTTGCCCCATAGCCATACCCACCGGGCCACTGTGTGAACCAATCGTTTTCTTTACAAGGAAGTGACTCTACAATCACAGCACCAGAAAGCATATGAGTCATGTGGTTGTAAGAGAAGCCTTTGAGAGAGGACTTTCCTCTGTAATGAATGGGAAGAGACTAGAAGAGGAATCCGTGTAGTGGGAGAGGGAGGCTCTCTAGGGACTAACTTACTGGCCTGAACATAGCACTTTACTGCTGCTTGCACCAGGGATCTGTACTCAGTGTCGTATCCATCAGGTCTGGAATCCGCCACATTCATACCCGACTAGTCAACCGGAAGGTTGTCCTTCACTAAGGTCAACCAGAAGGTCGATATGTAGCTGTTATTAGGCTTAAATTGCTAATATTATATTCATCTCAGAGAACAATGCTGTGATGAAATCTATATAATTGGCTCCCCACTGGATAACCGTGACTATAATGTGTTCATATTCTAAAAGGCATTGACTTTATTATTATTTTTTTACATAATTAAAAAAAAAAATTTCATCCATAAATCTACTTTTAGCGTTTTAATCACATGCTAGTTAAGGTTGTACTTTCGAAATGATATAAATGAAAGTCTAACACTAAATGGCACATAGGTGGAAATGAACTGCTGTGTGTCCACGAGTCAAGTCCTTATGCCAGAGGAAGCCACAACAATGACAAATGAGGTAAAATAAGCCATGCCTTTATTCTACGTTCTCCCCTCACTTATCTCACTTTAAACACAATGAGCAAAGGTCTGTGGCTCACTCTGAGAGCCCCTCAGAGAAACACCACCATTGTGCTTAAATTAAAGACGAAAGGTGAAAATTTACAAAGGCCGTCACTTGAGAGGCCTCACCTGGGTGCGTGCACGTGCCACGAGCAGAAAGGCCACTAACCCTGTGACAGCGGCAATACAAAGCAACAAATCAACCTTAAATAAAAAAGAAATAAAAAATTTGTTATTGCCCTGGTTGTAGGTCTTTAGGTTTCAGCTTCAGAATGGCATATATAATGGTTGGTGTTTTGCACTAGCACTGAAGCGGTAATCTGTATGCCCCTGCAATTATTTACCACTAAAGGACTGACCCAAGCTTTTGAGGGGTCATCAGCTGTATTTGATTTCAATCCTTGAACACGTTGTTTGGTGAGGAAGGAAAACATCCAGTCTATCAGAAAAGCAATGCTTGGATGTGAAAAGGGCAGACGTTGCAAATGTGGGTTTTCACTTAATAAGTCAATCAATACATTGAGTTCCTTGCCTGTCTATTTTCAGAGGTGCCATGGGACCGAATCGACAGGGGATGTTTGACATGGACAATACAGGAGCCAAATCCCCGAAGACCCTTTCCCCCCTTAAAAGTAAATGTCAAGAGCGGAAAAATGGGTACCTTGACCCTGCAAAAGGTTAACAAACTTCTGCTTAATGAATGGGAGGAATGAAATTTCAGACAAAGGAGTCTCCAGCAGAGCTTCCAGCGCACCAAAGCATACCAGCTGCGTTCAAGTATGGACGGGGAGGGCTACATTTTTGTCCATATGCCCATAATTAATGCTCTCTGCTCTCACTATTGTCTTGAAATTAAAATGAAAAAAATTTGGCCACCCTTGGCTAATTTTGTTGACGAAATGCAAAGAACGGTATGGGGGAAATGGTCATAAAACAGTCGTTCCCTCGCTAATCAAAGGCTTGTCCTCTTCAACTTGAGTAGCTAGGCTTTATCCATGCTGACAGGTGTATTGTTTCGGAGAGCTATAAGCTCTATAATCGTCATGGGCAGAAAGCATAACGCTTTGCTAAGTAGGTTTAATTGGCTTTGGTTTTAAGTAATGTTGCAGTGTGACTGCTTGGAACACCTTAATATCAGGTCTTGGGACTTCCCAGCAAATAACTGCTTAATCTCGCCTTTAGGAGAATTCCTCAACTAATGAAAATTGCTTATAAAATATAATGAAGCCTTGGTCTCTTAATCAAATAAGATAACGTTTTTTGTAATAACCTATTAATTTAATTGGTCGTGAAGTATAAAACACATCAATTACATTTAATTGACCTAGAAACTATAGTAACAATATTTAAATTAGACAAGCTAGGAAATTTCAGCGATGAAGCCATTAAGACCAGGCATTCTTCACCATGGCGACATATTTCTGTCACACTCTGCCTCCTTTTCTTTCCTCATTTCCCCCTCTCACTCGCTCTCTTTTTCCCCTCAACCCATCTCATCTAAGATTCCACACGCGGCCCAATTACAGAATTCAGCAAGCAAATTGAGGCTGTTTAAAGCAGGTTTCTCTCGTCTCTTCTGGGAACTATGGCAGCTGCTGTAAGCAGCCATTTGGACACCGGGAAACACTTTCAGTGTTTAGATACACACACAAAGCGGGGACGTGACGTTTTAAAGCACAGGTTGTGTTATCAGCCCATGTCTCTCAGGTTAAAGACAGTGAGGTAGAGAGTCTCTTTGACAACAGAGGTATTCTGTGCTTGGCTGCATTAATGATCGCTATTTTTGTATACTGAATAAGTCAAATCCATTTGTCACACCGCTTTTGATGGCATATTTAATTTAGATATAGTCAATTAGGCTGGACTAAGCTGTGTACCCTGCTGTGCACACCTCCATTTTGCACTCCTTCATCTCCCCTGCCTTTGCCATTAGTAATCCTATTAGGAAAGACAGACAAGAAAATAGTGGACCAAGCCAGGGTCGATAGAAGCAGCTCCACCTAAAACATTCCATGCAAGACTGACATAATTTCCAAATGTGTGGCTATGTATTTGGCTGCAGGGTGAGAGAGCGATTCTTTGTGCGTTGCCTCGCAGGTTGCTGTATAAATGTAACTCATGCATCAACTGTAGGGAGACAGATTTATGACACTTTGGGGACATGCACTTTTCTCTCCTTGCACTGCTCCAGACTGCTTACATTTTGCCAATCAGTCTGTTGCTATGGTAACACACCCCTCCCCTTCTCCGACCAAAACCCCAATCTCAATCCCCCCACCCTCCATTTGCCTCTTTCCCCACACAGTTATTCCTCCTCCTCCTGCTCTCTCTCTATCTTTCTCTTTCACCCACACTCATTTCCCCTTTTTATATATGACTCTATGCACTGTTTAGTAACATGGCCAAAAATGTTCAGAAGTAAGAAAGGGCAGCACAGGTCGCACATGTACACAAGCACACAAACTCTTGATCGGAGCTTGTCACCCACAAGTACAGGAAATATTAGTATTGGTAAGCAGGAGAAAGCAGCTTGTTGTCTGGAGGAAAAGAGACATTTTTGTTTCTCCCATTTCGTAAAAGCAAAATTAATAGCTGAAAACATGTCAGAAATTATGGATGCTTGGTGACCCTGCTTTTGTACTTACTTCCCCCATTGCTTTGCGATTGGTTAACTAGAAGGTTACATGTAGTGCCACTGTCCCTCCATGCCCATATTCATGCCCATCCCACTCATAGGCCCTAGAAGGAGAGAAAACAATCGAAGAAGATGCCGAAAGATGAGAAAATAAACAGACCACGGCTCAGAGACAGGAGGTCAAGAAACAAAAGCACAATTCCCCATTTATTAAAAGAAAAGAGACGAACACCATATGGTACAAATAAGACAATATAAGTAAACAAACAAGTAAATAATGCATTCAAAGGCTAAAGGTTGGAAGGAAGCCTGGCTTTGGATAAATCCTGCAGCTTAAGTGGTGAGGTGGGAGGGGATGAGTGGTTAGCAACAGTGACCAGTTACACAGGTTGGAAGAGGCTTAGATTCAGAGAGAAGAGCAAATTCTGGGAAGATGGGTATTAGAAAGCAAAGGTCTCAGAAAGGAAACATGAAAGGACAAAGGGGTGTCATGCATTAGACCACACCTGTGCAAACCAAGGGTCTTAGAATCAGACTGAGAAAGGAGGTAGTGCGGAAGAGAAGGAGGGGGCTTGTGGGAAGGTGGGACATGCCAAGGTCTTACCAGGTGGTCTGATTCCCATGTGCTGCTGGCCGTCCATCACGAAGCCTCCCATGGGTTGACCATCTGGGTTGTAGGGAGCTCCTTGACTTACTGCAGGAGGGCATTGTGAGGGAATATGGGGGAAACGGACAGTGGTCAATTAGTGCTTTTAATTAAGTTTAAGTCGCAGGAGAAACATCATCTGTTAACACACATGCAAACTTAGGCATTTCACACAGATTCTTTGGGTTTCATGAGAGATAAAACACTTGACAGAACATGCCCAATGAAGCTTAAGTACTGGGAACAAAGAGCTAAGCCTATATTCTGTAATACAGGAAACATTTTTAGACAACCCCAAAAAATTAAGGAAAATCAAAGTTATCTTTTTTCCCCCACACAAGCTAATTGAGATGTACTTACCGCGAGTTCACGCTTTTCAAAGTGTGTGTGTATGTTGGGGGGTTATTTGGTCAAAGAAAAACAACTCAACCCCAATGAATGCCTTTGAACTTTTCTGAGTCCCTAATGCTACCCTGCCCCCTGAACCCTATTACAGGTAATAAAATTTACAGCAGTCCACAACAAGCCATGCACCAGGGGCACTGTTCACTAACAGGAAGAACTTAGCTAGGAGGCAAACATGGTCACTTCAAAAATAAAACATAAAGTTAAAAAAACAAGATTAATATCTTCTGTACTTGACCGAACAACTCTCCACTGTTCTCTAGTAGAATAAGTTGGATAGAGAAGATCCAGTTGTAGTTATTGTTTCAATACTTTAATCCATCGTACGTGTTTGCTCGCTTCTCTTCGTCACTGGGTTATATAGTGCCCAAGTCAGCATGATTAGCGCTTTGGATTAATTGGATGGATTTTAGTGGTCAATCATTGTTGACATCCAGGCTGGGCTAAGTATTTACCGGCAGGTGGGCCTCCGGGTGCATGGCTTGCAGGGGGCTTTCGCCTGTGGGACTTGAATACAGAAACTATGGGGGACTTGCCTGCTCGGTTGGACTGGTCGATCATGGGCTGCACTATTCTTCTTCTTGCGTTAATGAACCTGTAAAAAAACAAGATGCAACATATGAATGAAAAGTTACTGGAGTTTTTGCTATCTTTTTCTGTAAACACAGTCACGTCCAAGCCTGCTGCTGTCCAGATCAGCCCAGATAGCTAATCAGAGGGGTAACTGAGGGATTTTTTTCTCTAATCCTCTAGTACTCCAGTGGGAGTGTTGTAGAGTTGTCCCATAACACAGAAATGTTCACAAAGCTTACGACTTGTACAAACTTGTGCTAGCTTAATATATATTGTCTACTAAGCGAAGTGCACAATAGCACTTTGAAGAAAGTGGTGTTTTCCTCTATGTATGCAGTTCTTTTTTAACAACTTTATTTTAAACCACTGAACCATTCAAACCCTGATGCCAGATGTAACGCAGTTGATAGGCACCACAGGAATGAATGTGTTTAGGAAATGTTTGCTAACGTGAAGTGTTGCATTGTCAAAGAACACAAGTACAAGCCATGTTTTATTTTTCCTTCTGTCTCCCTAGAGGGAGAATAATGAAACTGTGGGTTCAATGAGGAGTTTTTTTTCCCCGCCAAAAAGAACAGGCTGCTCTGCTATTCTGCGTATTGTGCATAACATTTGTGACAAAAACATATTTGGTCCCTGTAGCTTCTGACCCCCAGCCTCTTTGCACCATACATCGGAGTGCTCTGGCCTTGTTGTGCCTAAATCCCCTCTAGTGACCCTGTGACCCTGGTCACCTCCAGGAGACCATGCTCAGGGGTTCCAACTTGATTTATGTCCTCCTGCTGTTACCACAGTTGGACACTTCCATTTTAACGTTTGAGGGGGGAATTAGTAGACTTTTAAGGAAACAATAGCCGCGCTACTTTTTTCAGGCTGAGAAAAGCAAGGGAGGAGACCTTGGGGTGTAGGGAGAGAGCGAGAGAAAGAGAGAAAGGGAGAGATAAAGAGAAAGAGCAGGACTAACAGACAAAGAAATGTTCACATAGGCATCTGCTAAGCTTCTTCTTTATTAATTATAAAAACGGATCGTTCCAACTCTAAATTTTGACTGTTTAAGCCATTGGAAAATGCAACTGTAAACAACTTGCAGTTTGTATAATTAACTATATTACTATAGATATAATTAATATTCACAATATAATTATTATTATACAAATTGAACTATTTTTTAAATAAATGTAACTATTGAACAAAAGCGTTTTTTTTTTAAGTGAGCCATCCATCCATACCATGATTAATGGGATTTTAAGGCACTCTTCACGTTTACCCATGGTAATATTACTGTAATAAATTGTCTCTCATGGTGTAAAACTTGAATTTTTTTTTTCTTTAAATTTATTTGACCAGAGATCACAACTTTCTCATATCACCAATATCACTGTACGATATCAGCTTAAAGGCTTAAAAAAAAGATCAGGGGAGGAATGTACTGACATGGCAGTGCACCATCAAATGAGAGAATGTCTGGAGTTTTATCACCAGCAGCGGGCTGGAGAGCAGGGGGAGTCTCAGACTAGGCATTCCTTTTACTGCCTTCATCTCAGGCTGGGGTCGAAGGGGGGGCACTGTTGTCTATCTGCTGACCTCTGCCGTTTGGATTTTCCTCCCTCGCTCACTCGCTCTGCCTCTGCCTTTTTTCCGCTCTTTTTTTTTTTTTTTTTAAATTGTGGAAATGGCTGTTCTTTCTTTCTTTTTTTTAAAAAGGTATCTTAAGCTTCCTCTCTCGTTGCTTCTTATATCTAAGGCCAGATGCGCCAAAAGCTGGAACAAAGGACAAGTGCTACACAATACCAGGCAGGGGGATGGAGAGGTGGTGAGGGTGAGAGAGGGGGTTTAGGAGTGTGAGGAAAAAGAGAAAGAATGGTCATGCTCTGTTCTGTGAGCCAGGCGGACGCCCTGGCGCTGACGGTTAAGAAGGCAATCAAAAGGAGCAGAGAACCATACGGGCCAGGCTAAAGCTGGAGCCTCCATTAGGAGTAAAAGTTCACCTTTACGCGACCTCTCCGCGCTATAGGACTGCGTTTATGGCCTGTTCAGTTTCTACTTCCCATAGGCACACAATGAAGCCAACTATTCAGCCCAGCTTGGGACAACGTGGGGCTATTTTAAAGCAAAACGTCACTAGTGGCACCTCCAAAGTAGGGTAAAAAGAGGAAGGTTAAAAATACACCGCTTTACTAAAAGGATGAGAAAAAAGACTGAAATGAGAGTGTTTATGAGCCAAATGAACCTGGACGGAGGCTTGGTTCTTCTCATTCTGTTAGCGCATGTGTGTTTCGTAACTGTTGGAGCGCTATTGCTCATTCCCGCCTTTACTGACAGTCGATCTGATCTCTGTCGGGTCTGCCAGGTCCTCTGCTAATATCCCACTCTCATTACAAACGCACAGGTGTAGCACGAACGGCACGTGAAATGGCCAATTAAAAGCAAGAAATTGTCTTTTTCATCAGCTGCCTTTGTTGCGTGACCAATTAGGGAATAATTTAATAAGCGTTGCTGGAAAGATCCAGATTGAAGATACAAAAGGTTATATTTCAGTATGTCTATCTAAATGCATATGAAGTATGCCATTTTTCTAAGAAATGCCCCCTTCGTTCGCTCGTTCCCTCTCTCTAAGATGTAAACTGTGTGAGGGGGCGCATGCATGACTACGGAGGACCAAATTCACTCATGAAATCGCATTTCAACACACTCAGCTACATTTACATGTATATTAAAAACCCACAAACAGGCATATCGGTAATACCGATGGAATAGAATGATCTGATGATTCGGATCTGCATCTGTGGCTCTACAGGAATCTTCAGTAAAAATATGCATTAAAAGAAAAGATATAAAATATGTTATGGTTTTAAGATAATTATCAGTTAAAATGATCGATTTAGTCATTGTGCTAACTGTTAGGACGTAACTGGCTAAAAATAGCTACATACTACATTTTAGTAGTGTGACTAGCTGAAATGTTTTCAAAATATTGTAGTTCTCCAGTTACAAGCTGCTTTGTGACAATGCTACATTGCCATTTTCAATGTTGCACTGTATTGTGCACACACATCAAACTAAGTAATATTCATGCATAAAGTAATATTCATTGATTTGTTCAATCTAAAATAAATAAATAAATATTTGAGTCCCTGTGTGGCATTTTAGGTATTCTTTAATATTTAAATATGAAGCAAAATATTTAATGAAAGCTTATGTTCATTACTATGGAAGCACAGTTTAAATTGGTGTGCTTTCTGGTTTTTGGCTATGAATTTATAGGTTCAATTTAATGCTGTCACCCTAATTGATATGCTCATTCATTCAAAAACACTCATTCAGATTCATTCAGTTTTGTGCCAGTTTTAAATTATATCAATTAAATTACACTTACAAATGTATTTTTAAATTGTATCATTAAATAGTTATACATTTTAAATTAGATTGCTTCCCTAATTAGCTACAATGTAGTTTGTTTTGTTAGCTTGTAATGTAAATAACTACTTTTTCAAAATTAAAGCTCAACTGTAATTTAACAATTTCAAAATAATGTGTAGCTTGTATCTTGGCACTACATTTTTTGAAGTAGCTTCCCCCACACCGGTTAACATGCTAACTGCTATAATTCAACTAGCTAATCATGCAATAAGACCCCTCTGGTGAAACCAACTTTATTATCATTATCTGCTCTGGAGATCCATTTACTTAAGTAATTAGTAATTCACATGTTGGCATGCCTCAAGGCAAATTTCATAAATACGAGCATCTCATCTCAACCTAAAGTCATAAAAGTCCACCCTGGCTCCTCCTCTCTCCAAGTCATTCTGGGGTCAGTCGCTGTGGCCTGCCTGTGCTTAAATAAACTAGTCCAGCTGTTTGCTGCACAAATTCCATTTACACTCCTGCCTCCCCTCTATGCACCCGCTCTCACTCACTCACACACACACACACTTATACATACATTTACACACTTTTTTAAATCAGCACAGCAACCCAGGTCTGGAGGAGTGGCGTTAACCTGTTCCATTGCTGGAGACAGACAAGGGGGAATGGGGTGTACATAAAGGACCAACTTCCAACACCCGTTTGCATCTCTCACCTCAGACAATTCCATTCAGCCCCATCACACCCCTCTTCCTCCCCTCGCACTGCATATTCCTGCCTTTCTCACCTCTCGTCACGTTCTTAATAACATCGGCCTCCCCCTCGGCCCCTCCGCTGTTTCTTAGACTGGCCTGCGTGGGTGGAATCCCATAAGAAGAACCCATTCTACTGGGTCTAGGGAAGCAGGAGCCATGAATTTGAACTAGTTGTTAGTACAGTGATGTCATTCTTCTTTAGACACTCACAGCTCATCTGAGGTGTGGTGCTAGAAAATCACAGAAACATAGGCATGTGTCTTGACATATTTGCAGATTTTGCTGTAGTTGCTTACACCAGCTAATCCCAAACTTGGTGGCTTCCAGGTTTTTTACATGCAACTGTGAGATCTGCACAGCTATCTTCATGTCAAACACTAATTTGGGGGATTCAATCTCACATTTAAATCTAGTAATCATCCCGAAAACATTGCAGTGTGTATGTGGCCAGATTCCTAGACTTTACCGGGATTACCTGGTCCACTCTAGCAAGGCAAAACAGCTTGCCCAAAGAAAACAGAGGAGATGTAAAAGGGGCTTTTGGGGAAGTCTCAAGTAGGGGCTTGTCTAATCTCTGCTGCATCAGCCCCCCTCCAACAGAGGCTGATCATTACTTCAGCAAACTCACCCCTGGTGCACCCTCACAAGCTCCTCTCACCAAACAAAGTCGAAACCTTTCCATTAACAGAGCTGTGAAGTCCCCTCTAAAGCTGCTATTAAAGAGTGGGGCCGCCGCCTGGGGGCTAAGGAACACACTTTATAAACACATAGCTGGTGTGTGAGAAGGAGAGAGGGGTGCAGCAGAGATTGCTACGAGTTGCTCAAAAGATCAACACAGCCAGGAAGACATATGCAGACTTCAGACCAGAAAACTCCAGCTTGAGGCAAGAGGAGACCATTG